CCACGAACGTACGCTTCCACCAGGTGCAATAAACACAAGTACCAAGATACGGACGTCTGCTTCGGGGAGGTTCATACTTCCTTATGTCCTGCGCATGCTCATAACATCAGAAGTGGGGGACTTGTGTTGGGTTAAGGGCCCAAGCCGAGGTCCGGCCCACTAACCCATTTTGCCAGACGAACGTCCAATGAGAACACTAGGCCAGCCCACAGGCCCATGTTCCTTGAGGATGGACGAACGCCTGGTGTTGGGGGACTCAGTCCCAGCAGCTCATCCTGACGAACGTCTAGCAGGGACAAGGAGCAGAACCACGGGCCACCAGGGATGGCGACGAACGTCCCCAGAGCAAGCCTGTAGTCACCGGGGGAAACCCAGTCCACATGGTGAGTATCTATCAAGGTCAGGAGACGAACAGCCGGCATCACCTGAGGGTCACTTGGGGCGATCCGACTCACTTCCCGGGCGGACGAACGTCCCCACTGATTGGGCGGGAAACCCAGATTCTGGCGGGAAGTGCATTTAATGCTGAAGATTTGGTGGTTGGGACACAAGCGGTCCACAGGCTTCCACGTCAGCATAGCTACCTGCCCATTGGCGGGTATAAATAGAAGCATTTATTTCATTGTAAAGGGTTGGCAACTTTCTATTGTTAGCATACTAGCTTCAGCATTCCTACTCGCAGCATTTCCAACTGCCTTGTAAGACGAACGGCCGACGTGCCTTTTTAGCAAGTAGATTGTACTTAGGGGAGTTATTACGAAGTTAATAATACCTATTTACATTGCCTGCTATTACCTTTGTTTCCTGGTCCATCTGATAGTTGTTGGGCTAGATATTCATACACTTACTCCACTCGAAATCTTTGGGCTTACGTGTTGGGCCTGAAGGTTGAAGGAATAAACCCCAACAACTATTTTACAAACGGCTAATTCTATCGGCTAATCAAAACAGCCAACTGAATCTGCTGCCATCAATCAGCTAACATAATCAGCCAACAGCCAATTGTCAAACACCCCTAGATGTATGTATATCTCATTCGAGGTGAACGCTCTCAAAATAAATCAATTTAGTGGAAACAAATTGTAGTTTGGAGATTTTAATTTTGGCATATACGCAAAGATACACCCATGTCAAGAGAGAGTATACGAAAACTTTATTTAATGATTCATTTATTTTCTGTTTAAACTAGTTGAAACTCTAAAAAAAATATAAGATATTTGACAAAATTAGTTATTGAATGCCGAATGGGTAAGTAACCAAATATTTTGTTGTTCGATGGTTTCACTGTTACACTTTCAAGGAGGGGGTCACATGACTCACATGTTTGAAAGTAATCTCAATCAAAAATGTAGGCATTGGTGTTAAATGTCCCACACCGGAAAATTGAGAAACACTAGAGTGCTATATTAAGCTTCGGGCTACTCCTCCTATCAGGTTGACCTTTTAGGATGGAACCCCAGATCTTAACATGGTATCAGAGCCAAATCGATCCATGGTGTGGGGCCCCTTATGAAAAATGACGACACGAAATGAATGACGACACGATCCAGACGAAGTGTCTGGTCGTGAGGAGGGGTGTTAAATGTCCCACACCGGAAAATTGAGAAACACTAGAGTGCTATATTAAGCTTCGGGCTACTCCTCCTATCAGGTTGACCTTTTAGGATGGAACCCCGAGTCTTAACAATTGGACAAAACATATACGTAGTACTACAATATGTGATAAATATAATAAAAATATGGGTTAACATATTTTTATAGTAAATAGATGTTTTATATGGTAGATCTTTAGAGTATGGAGATTTTTCGTCGTCATATCTGCAGAAAGTTTTCTTCATCACCGTGTTATTTTTTTGGATGTCTTGTTTTAAAAGTAATTAAAATAATGATGATTCCAATATTGTTATAATAAAGTGAACTAAAATGCTTTGATAATCATGCCATCATCAGTTAATATGCTTTTGTATATATATTTTGATATATGTAAAAAATAGTATGACGGTGAATAAAATAAAGAGAATCCTAGTTATGAATTTAAGGTTTGTTCTAGTTTGCCAAGTACTTTGTGGTCAGATGATATCACTGTGACACTCTCAAACAGAATTCACAAGTTCCAATCTCATTCCAGTTCAAGGATATTGACATTAACAGAACATATACTATAATAGGTTAGAAAGATTTGTAAAAAAAAGTTTGTTTTAATCTTATTTAAAACAAATCTCTCTTCCTAAAATAAATTCCCATCAATGAATTGAACTTAGAGGCCGTTTGGAACCACTACTGTTTTTCGGCTTATCAGGCTTATCAGCCAACTTTTTCACCAAACACGTAATTTTTGCTTTCACGCGCTAAATTGTGTAATAAGTAGAAAAAGTAAGGTTGGAGATACTTTTCTGGCTGAATTGGTTGAAGTTACTGTAGATGACCATTTTAGCTATTTTACATATAATTTTTTCTCTATTTTATTAATAAAATATATTTTAAAAATATTTTCTTCTTAAATCAGCAGAATTAGCTGCCAATGTCAGACACTTCATCCAGAACTTCATAAATTTCAGCAAAAACAGCTAAATGAGCCGATTTTCGTTCTAACAAACGGACTAGTCTTGATATATGGGAAAGGTATACCGTATATGATGGTAAACAACCTTGCTTGACGTATAAGTCTGAGTCATTGACTCATGGACTCATGGCCCACACCCCTCATGATTGATTCTTGAACTGGCCGGGATGTATAAGAGATTCTTAATTCTATAATAATGAGGCCGTTTGATAATCATGTTTTTAATTTTTTTTGGCTTATCATGCTTATTAGTCAACATTTTTATTAAACGTAAGTTTTGCTTTCGCGCGCTGAATTGCATAATAAACAGAAAAAGTAAGGTTGGAGTTACTTTTCTGGCTGTATTGGCTGAAGTTACTGTAGATGATCATTTTAGCTATTTTTACATATAATTTTTTATTTATTTTATTCATAAAATATATTTTAAAAATAATTTTTTCTTAAATCAGCAGAATCAGCCAATGCAACCACTTCAGCCAAAACTTCATAAATTTCAGCAGAATCAGCCAAATCAGCCGATTTTTATGCTACCAAACGGGCTCAATATACTCCGTATGAACTACAAGCTGGTTAAGATAATTTTTGTTCGAAGAAAATCTTTTGTCAAAGATAATATATAAAAGATTAAGTAATTGTCCCTAATAGGAGTAAGGATGTTTTTACTTGTATTGTAATTTGTCCCAGACCAGATCAGATCATACCAGACTCGGGTAGTTATAGAAATACAAAGAAACTAGACCAGACCAGACCACCAAATTACAGTCCAAGTAAAAACATCATAAAATATACTATGTACAACTTTGCTCTAAATAAAAGTCACTATCTATTCTTTTCTAAATAGGATTAACCATTTATTTCCCACCTCTGATCCAATTAATTACTTACTCCCTACTTCCTTTGGTGAACCGGGTCAACCCATTGGTGGCGAGTTAGTCTCTGAGTGGTGGCAGCGGCGGCAGGCGGATTGGGCAAAAAAACTGGACTTTTTTCCGGCCCTGGCCTGCCAGAGCTCTGGCGACAGGTGGAGGCGGCGATCACAGCACGACGGGGGTGAATCTAGGCAGCAGCGGAGCTCCGGTGGGTGGTGGCGGCCTGAGTCCGGCGTCAGCAGGTGGCAATGGGTAGGGGCTAATACCTGCAGGGTTATTTATTTTTTGTCCGATCACAATAAAAACAATCCTATTTGAGGAATTTTGAAAGTGTACTCCTATTTTTGCCATCTCACATGCTATACTCCTATAAGAGTAAGATTCTGTTATGACGAATTATATATGAAGTATCAGCTAAGACAAATTTTGTAAAAAAAGGCAAAATATATATTACCGATAAGTTTTAAATAAACAATAACAAGATTTGGCGCACATGCACAATATGCATGCATGCCCCAATAATTGGGGCATGCATGCATATCGTGCATGGGGCATACCACATTGAAGTTGCTCTTTGGGGCACAAAGCCTCTGCAACCATCTCATTCCAAATCCTCCTTCCTATTCCCAACCATCTCAAGCTCTTAGCGCACAAAGCCTATACCTCCAACATAACAGCTTCCGCTCCGCCTCCACCGTTTGGTCACCATCTTTATCTTTTGTTCATCGTCTCCTCCTCCTCCTCCTCCTCCTCATCCCCCTCTTTCTTTTGGAAAAGTCGCCGAAAATTTATCCCGAGATCACAGTGACACATGTTGGGGGAGGAATAATGACATCCGTAAGTGATATGAAAATCCGGTAGTGAAAACTCTCAGTGACATGAAAATATCAAATTGACATAAAATACTTGTGGTTACATTTCCCCAAGAGTAACATATATGCATAAATGATCCTTGAACTATCATCACGTACAATATCGTTTTGGTCATTGAATTGAAGTATTAAATCTATCATTTTAATCCTTAATCTATTTAATATATATTAATTGAGTTTTCGGTTAAATTTTGTCTTTTACATTGACGGTAGCTAATTTAGATGGGAAATAATTCGATCAATATCTGGCCTTAATTATATACAGTATACGTGAAATTGTATTTTTGCATATGACAAATGGGAGCGAGGCTTAACAAAACTCATCACAACATAAGAAGCTAAGCCACGTTATTTTAATTTCTTTGAAAAAATATGAGATGGAAAAACTAGCTTTTTGAGATGATTAATATTCAAAATGAAAGGAGGGATCGGAGAACGTAACACTTAATTTCGGCAGAAAGAGATGAACGAGATTGTCGCATCACAATGGTCGGAGCTCGATCGATCACTTGACCTTGAATTTGAAAAGTCATTTGTAGACTAAATAATAACTGTTGATATTTCCAAATAGGTGGGCCGGGCCTGGTGTGAATTGCATAAAAATCCAATGCGACCAGTACGTAGTTTTACCAATTGAATTCTCTAGCTAGCTAGTTCTATACTTCTATTTAATCACAGGAAATAGCTACTACGAAGCTCGTACATTAAATTGATCATGAGGCCAGGATTTTAATTTGATGCCTAAATAAATACGAAGTACTACGTATAAATAAATCCTGATATATCATATCCCCGTACGCCGTCCATTTATTATTCATCCACCTGGCCTGGCCTTTTAATTTAAACAAAGTTATATATATTACGTCGTCCGGCCATATACATTTATATCATTCGAGCTATATATCTAGCTTTAATTACATCTATCTGATCTGTTGAGACGTACGTACGTTCCTTGATACATGCATAATTAATTAATAAACTCGATCGCCATGCAGCAGGCTCGTACGTACGTAATGGCATCCGAAATAATTTGCTACTTGTTGCCGATTGGTCTCATGATATTGTTGGCAAATACAAATGGGGTTTCCTGCAGCCGAGTTATGGTTGACCGCTCCGATGACGAGAAGTCGCCGTCGTCGTCCATGCGGCGGCGGGCTCAATACGAGCAATGGAGGAGGCTTCATGGCAAGAGTTACAGGGACGCCAGTGAAGAAGAGGAGCGTTATCACATTTTCCGACAAAACGTGGATCGAATTGAGGCATTTAATAATGCCAACAAGCAGCAGCGCGGCGGTTACCAGCTCGGCCTTAACAAATTTGCAGACTTGACCAACCACGAGTTCCGCGCCAGGCATGCCGGTGGTTACAACCCCAAAGTGTCGTTGTCCGCCACCGTTGCGCCGCCGCCGAATCATTTTAAGTACGAAAATGTCACGGAGGTACCCGAAGCCTTGGATTGGAGGGCACAAGGTGCAGTCACACCCGTCAAAGAGCAACTTCAATGTGGTATGCCCCATGCACGATATGCATGCATGCCCCAATTATTCGTACATACTTTTCACGTTCAATTTCAAGCATCTTTCATTGATTATTCACGAAAAGCTACTTTCATCCGTCCCATTTTAGTTGTCCTACTTTTCGTTTTGGGTTGTTCTAAAATTGATGTCATATTTATTGTCATGTTTCCCTTTTTGGTAAGAAATTTGTGGCTCATATCATTTCACTTCATTCTACTTAAATCTCAACCACAACTTTTATTTTTTCAACCACTTTATAAATAACCATGCCAAATTGAAATGAGACAACCATTATGGGGAATTTTGCTCCTCTCCATTAAGTGGAACTCTCCATTATGAGAAATAGAGAGAGGTGGGGAAATGGTGGGGTAGAGGAAAAAAAGATTATGTTTAATTATTATTTTTAAGAAGAGAGATAGAGTAAAAAAGAAATGGAGAGAGTAAATGGAGAGGAACATGACCCCATTATGGGACGGAGGTAGTAGTTATCAAAATTTTAAAAGAAATTGTTCCAAATAGGAGTTTTGTTTGTAAGTTTCAAAATATGACTGTCATGTTTTAGCATTATCTGATTTTAAAGTATTTTCCAAACTTGACGGTACGTACTCATAGTTAAAAAATAAAAAATATTACATTACTTTTTTGAAATGTCAAAACATTTTAACTTTTTTTATTAGAATTTTCGGGAATTAACCTTTTTTTTGTCCGTCCGAAAAAATACGGAGTATATTGAACCTCCACGGCTCCACACTAGAAAATGAATTAAATACGGAGTACTCGGTATCAAATTTGACAGGCTAAAGGGTCAAATAGGTACATGAACTAACTTAAAGTGTTCAATTAGCCCCTTATATAGGAGGTTTTGCCCGGCCGTCGCCAATTGAGGCGGTTCCAGCTGGAATTTTTTGATGAAATTTTTTGAGCATCTTCTTCATTAAGTCTAGTTTACACATACCAAATTTCAGCTAAAAAAACAACCGGGAAGGCAGTCAAATGATTTTTTTAAGATAACTGTGCAGTTAAACATCGCAGTACATTTCGGAAAATCATTTGACTGCCTTTCCGATTTAATTTTTAGCTGAAATTTTATATGGGCAAATTAGACTTAATGAAGAAGATGCTCAAAAAATTTTATCAAAAAATTCCACCAGGAACCGCCTCAATTGGCGACAGTCGGACAGAACCTCTTATGGCTAATTGAACACTTTAAGTTAGTTCATGTACCTATTTGACCCTTAGATATTTACATGTGGACCCGACCTTGCACATCGACCTCAATGGCCCAATTCGCTATTAGACGCACGCTTCCAGAGTTCCAGGCAGGAAGAAAATACCACGATTTGACTTTCAAATCATAGACTTGTTAATAATTCTCTATAACTAATTAAATTAACACGTGAATGTATAATAATCATCCCATGAAATTCTTCAAAACATTACCTATTCTAGGAATATTTAGAGCCCCTTTGGTAACCCTATTTTTAAGCTTATCAGTCTTATCAATCAAATGTTTTATCAAACACGTAACTTAAACTTTGTAATAATAAGAAATAGTAAAATTATAGTTATTTTTTGGATGTATTGGTTGAAATTACTGTAGAGGATTATTGTAGCTATTTCTTATACTCCGTGTATTTTTTTCGTTCTTTTATTAATAAAATAGTACGGAGTAGTATATTTTAAATATTTTTTTCATAAATCGGCAGAATCAGTCAATACAGTCAATTCAGCCAGAATATCATAAATTTCAGCAGAATCAGCCAATACAACTGGTTTGGATTTTACCAAACGGGCCCTTAGTTGTATTGAATTAAAAAAAAATCTCAGTACATTAGTTCTATTTTAGCAAATTAAAAAGAGTACTCTGTATTATTGTCAAACTATCTAGGATTAAATTAAACAAAAAGTAAAGGTAGAAGGAATAATCCCACTATGGAATCAAACGAGCATTATTTGTACAAAAGGGAAAAATGAATATTTAAATGCTTGTTATATGTTAATGAAACAACAACTCTACGTATAATCACTACACATGCAAATATAAATAGGAATCCATAGGCAGTTAACTAATCTATTTTCCTGCCAAGTCACTACTCCACTTCTTAACATGAAATTGTCACTACTCCACCAGGGGTGGAGCCAGGGCACTGGGCCGGTACACAGAATATTTTCAGAAAAAATTTCACATGAAATTTTTTACCTTAAAAATTAAGCCATTTATTTGAGGTGGGCCATGGCCTAGATTGGCCCACCCCTAGCTCCGCCCATGTACTCCACTAAGACCATTTGGAGTGGTGAGAGAGTCTAAATGTCAAAAATAAACCCCATCCATGTGAAAACAGTGTTTTGACTCATATTTCTCTGAATTCCAGCACTGTCAACAAAATAGACTCTACACATTTATATATATATATATATATATATATATATATATATATCAAATTAGTAAAACATTAATTAAATCATTAGGAATAATGGTTTCCTTTTAATTTTTTCTCTGAATAATTATGAAATACGAAGTATAAAAATACACATTTCGATGAGCAAAAACTGAACTTATTTTAAGTAAAGTTCGATTGTGGAATTGAATATTTAGTTATTTGTGAAGGTTTTATAAATTAAAAATTTGTTTTCCGTGTTTTTTGGGGTTCAAGAAAACTACAACAATTAAAATCTGAGATTTTTTTCCATTTTATATATTACATATTGGTGTCATATGAAAGATCATTAAAATTCAAGAATTTTATATTTTTCAAAAATATTGGAATAAAAATAAAAAATTATAATAATTCTAAAATATTTGAGATTTAATGACACAGGAATGATGTCATGATGACGTAATCCTTAGCAGCAGCTTCCATGCCGCTCCTTCATTTTCTTTTCTTTTTCCTTTTTATTTTCCCTGTCAATCTACCCTCTATTAATAAGACTTTCAACTCATTTACCCACTTTTAGCACCTCCCATCATGCTCCACTACATACATTTAGGAGTCCAAAAGTTTTACTTTTAGCTTTTTGGACTTGTAAACCCTACCACTCCAAGTAGCCTAATGTCAATTTAACTAATAAATTAAATAAAACTTTAAATAAAATTAAAGAACCTCTAGCCATGCATACGTGAACCATGAATGATCGATTAAAACCCAACATGTATTTGAGAAAAATAGTTACTGTATGTTTTAATTTACTTCGCCTATATACTTAGTAAGATATGATGGGCGGGTGCAGGTTGTTGTTGGGCATTTTCTGCTGTGGCAGCCGTGGAGGGTCTGAACAAGATAAAAACAGGTGAGCTGGTATCTCTGTCAGAACAAGAGCTCCTCGACTGCAACGGGGATGGCATGAGTTGCGACGGCGGCATCATGGAAAACGCGTTCAACTTCATTGTGAACAACAACGGCCTCGCCGCCGAGTCCATTTATCCCTACACTGCGCTACAGAGTGCTAGTTGTGGCGGCAATGGCCACGCCGGCAGTGTCAGGATCTCCGGGTACGAGAGTGTCCCCGCTGAAGACGAGATTGCACTCTTGAAAGCGGTGGCGAATCAGCCAGTGTCTGTGGGCATAAACGGCGGCACAGATGGCTTTCAGTTCTACTCGGGAGGAATCTTTGACGACATGGATTGCGGACCCACCCTGAACCACGCCGTCACAGTGGTGGGGTATGGTAGTGATGAGGAGGCGGGGGCAAGTTATTGGATAGTGAAAAACTCATGGGGCAGTGGTTGGGGTGAGGGTGGGTATATGAGGATTACAAGGGATACTAATTATGCTCAGAACCCTGGGATGTGTGGGCTTGCTATGGATGGCTCTTATCCAACCCTCTAATTAATATCCATCGTTCATGTGATCCATATCCGGCCAGCCTAACTATAAGCTAGCTAGCACTTTAATTATTATTGTGAAAAGAAGTTTATAGTAGCTATGATTAAAACATCTTCAATGCTACAATGTGCATGATGCACATGTGGCATGAGAGACGGCCACATAATATTATTAAATAAATATTTTCTTTCCTTATTTGAATGATTTTATGCTGTTTTGGTAAGTTTTCTCCACAATGTTAAGGAGACCGTCTAGATGTTGACATTGCAGGAAAAAACATACCAAAATTGTATAAAATCATTCAAATAAGGAGAGAGATAATTTATTTGCTAATATTTGTGTGGTCATCTCTCATGCCACATGTGCACCATGCACATTCTAGCATTGAAGATGCTCTTAATCGTTAAATTACACCCACCACTTTGTTTGTAAGTTATATACTGAAAATAATATCGTAGTAATAATAGTTACGCTCACACACTTTCGTAAATGATTTACAACGTCATATTTCATCTTTATCAAATTGATAATTTCTTTCCCTTCTAAATAAGTGAAAAATTGTTGACAAGTTATTCGATGTATATGTATTAATTAATTAATGAATATAACTTTTATTATGATATTAATATGGTAGAAATAGAGATTATTACCTAACTAGGAGCAAAATAATTGAAAAGTGAAAAGTAGGACCTGATTGTTCCGTAGGATTAAGGTAGGAGTAAAAAGATAACACTTGACAAATTTGCCCTTAATGAAACAACTTTCTTTATTACTAATTTAAAGCTAGTAGAATAATAATTAAATATAATAGCACACGATGGTGAACACAATCGAACAAACACAACCCTAGACACGATGACCTTCTTCTCTGCCGCCAATCGCCAGTGGGCACTTATGTGCCGCTCCCTATCGCCGCCATCACTGGAGGCTCTAACACCACTGGCGGCCAGTGGCGGATTTACCCTTTATGTTTTGGGTGTTCCAAAAACCCAATTAAAATTAATTGGAATACGCATACGGAATTATGGAGTATTGGTTAATAATTTAATCAGCTGAGTGGGTTTTTTATTAACATAACTAAATGAATCAAAAACATCCTCCTAATTTAGCCACTGGGTTATTTATAAAGTGGGAGTTAAGCGTCATCATCCTATGAAGCTTCAAATTCATAGGTAGAGCAGAGACTGAATTCGTTGAAACAGAATAATAAGATAACTCAATCTCAAAAACTCAATCGAGAGCAAAGAGATCCCAACTTCCGATTTGGTAGAGATCGGCGATTTTTTTACAGAGCAAGGACGACGATTAGAACTCGCGAGATAGAGGAGCGAGCTGCAATTCTTCTTTGAGTGGCTACTAGTCTACGATAGGTGGCCACGTAGTGGAGGTGTGGACAGGTTTGGCAAGCTTCTGAAACGCAAGTGAGATTTAGGGAGAAACCCAGAAACGGTGGAGCTATATTTTTTCAAAGAATAACAAAACGACGACGTTTTGATGCTAAAAATTGAGATTTTTGGGTGTTCACATGAACACTCTTGAATAGCATCAGCTCCGCCCCTACTGGCGGCTCTTCCACCACCATCCCCTGCCTCCGCCCGCCGTGTGTGCCACCACCATCGCCGCATCTCCTGCCGTCGTCGTCATAATTTGCTTTGCCGCCAACTTTTCTGACATCATCTCTTCTCCCATGACCGGCACCTTAACATCCATAACATCCAAAACATAGCATTTTAAAATTCAAAACCATGGAATCTTCAAATTTCAGATAAAAGTCACGGCATCTCAAATTTCAGATAAAAATCATGGCATCTTCAAATTTCAGATAAAAATCATGGCAACTTCAACTTTCAGATAAAAACCATGGCATTAGAGGAATTGACATATGGGTGAAGTTGGTGCCATAAGATTGACACTATTTGCCCAACGAGTAAACGACATGGCAGTACAACACTATATATTGGCACTAAATGACCAACGAGGGGTTCAACTCCTCTCCATTTTTCCTCTTCATTTCCCATCCATTTCTTTTTCTCTTCCTATCTCTCACTACCTTTTTCTGTATCTTAGTCATCCATATACCCCACCTACAATCCCCTCCTCTCTATCTCTCTCCCACTGGAACTCTCCCGTTCTGGAGAGACTCCAAATTCAACCAACGAGTATACAAAATGGCACTACAACACAATATATTGGCACTAAATGTCCAACAAGTATACTTTGAATGACTAAAACAGAAATGTCATTTTCTGATTTTGAATGATTAGAAAAAGTAATTTATATTTTATTTAAAATAAACAAGTCAGAACCAATTAAAAAAATTGAAGCCAACAAGCTTCTATGGCCATTGTTGATTGTTCGAACCTCTAATTCCATACACAAGAATTTCAGATTTAAGAGTTGCAATGGGTTCAGAAGTTGAGAGCTGATTCTCTCCCTCATCGCGAGGCTCTTCTACGACAAATCTCGATCCATCCCATTTCTTCCATTAATCCTTCGTTTGAGACTAGATATTGGTTAATTTACCTCCTAATCTTCTTTGGGGTGTAGATTCCTCAATTTTTAAGCTCATTTGGGGGATTTTGGACTGGTTTTCATCTTCTACGCATTCGGAAACACTGTTCACGGTAAAATCGCTTCAGATTTCCGGCTTGGGACGATTGTTATTTCGTGTGTGGTATGATGTTCGTCATCTCCAGACATTTCTATTGACCTAGGTTTATTGAGAGAAAACGTGCGAGTATCTAGAAGGGCGTAGGTACTGCTCATCGCTCTTCTTTCTCCTGACTTCGTCGATGTATCTTAGCGATTCGATGTTCTAAGCTCTGGTTTTTCAAAAGCCTGACCTGTGGGTGGAGAAACTATGGTGACAAAAGAACAGGGGTCAGATGATGCTTCCAGGACTCGAATTACTCGTTCGTCCTCCAGATTCTCTGTGTTGGAAGATTCGGATGAAGAATTCCCAACATTGAAGGCTGCGAATTTGGTCAAACTGGGAGAGAAAAACCTATCTGGTACTGCTATGCCTAAAACTTCAGTGCATATGCCTGCCAAAACTGATGCAACTGAAGCTACTGGAAGTGGAAAGGAACTCTCGATCCAGACCACCGTGAAGGAACTTGGACCTGCTGCAGGGGTGATTTCTGCCTTACCTGGTGCAGGGGAGCCTTATGCAAATTCTGGGAAGAATTCTAATGCTGAAGGGGTTTCTGGACAGATTGCCCCTTTCCAGCTAGCTGATGCAGGAGTTTCTCCTCCTTTGATACCGATTAAGTCTCGTAGGAAGCAGGTGAAGCAAGCTACAGGGATGATGCATTCTCCAAATGCTACTGGGAGTGGTAAACTTCCAAACGAAACGGAAACTGATGCTACTGGGATCATTGCTGGGCAGATTTATTCACTGGCTGAAAAATATGAAGCTATTGCTATGCGTGTGGAACATGAGGCAGAAACTGTGAATGCTTTGGCAGTCCCCAAAGAGACTGGAATGGGTAGGAAACCATGGAACACACTCTTTAAGGATAACCGAGCCCCAACCCATGGAATTATATTGAGATTTATCCAGCCGAAGAGTACTGTTTTGTACTTTACCAATAGGATCATGCCGACCATGGTTGAGATGTGGGGACACTGTCTAGTTGGATGCTTTACAGGTCGGTTCCCTGACCTAAAAGGATGTCTATGAACTCAAAGAAAAATGGGGCGTGAGGTGCCTTGTTAGGCCCCATGACAAAGGTTGGATTATTTTTAAATTTCAAAATGATGCGGATAGAATGAAAGTTTTGAATGAGGGACCGTATACCATATTTGGAAAGCTTCTTATGCTTAAGGTACTGTCCGAGGACTTTTCATTTGACGATGAAGAATTCCTCAAAGTGCCTATTTGGGTTAAACTTCCTAACCTACCAATGCAACTATGGAATGAGGAAGCAATGAGTGAGGTGGCTTCTATGATTGGGACTCCGTTAACGACCGATAGAATCACTCAAGAGAGGGCGAATCACAATTTTGCTCGAGTACTTATCGAAGTTGATGTGTCAAAGCCACCACCACTATTGTTTCCTATACGCTTACCTTTCCAAAAGGTTTTCAATCAACGTGTGGTGTATGAAACTTTTCCTAATTATTGTTTTCATTGCAAAAAATATGGGCACCACCCATTTATTTGTAAGGAGCTAGCTGAAAAGGAACTAAAGGATAAAAATGAGAAAGAAAAGAACAAGGATGTTGGTATTATAAAAGCTGCTGCACAGGATGCTTTGAAGGACAGTTCATGCCGTATTGTTACCCGATTGAAGAAGAGAATGGAGATAGGAGAGGGCAAACTGCCTGATGCTCAACTTGAGGAGGAAAAAATTATGGAAGAACCTGGGAATTCTGCCGTTAATGAAGCTTATGTTGAGGTGGCTGCTACTTCGGTTGGCAAGCTTGATCCGGATACAGAAGAGAAATGTGATACTACTGATTCTGAAGACCAGTATGCGACTGAAGAGGAACCGGATCAGGAACATCATGTCAAGAAAACCACCTATAAAAGTAGGAAGAGAAAGGGTGAGACAAATGAGAAGTATAAATGACATTCATGTAATTTCCATATTTAAATTTGTGTTTTTAATTAGTTTCGAGTGATTCTTACTTTGGAAATTACACACTTTTGGTGTAAATAGTTTAGTTTGTAAAATATTTGTAATATGTTTAGATTAGGTTTATTCTGAGCTCAAACAGGTCCAAGTACACTTTGGAGACCATTGGTGAACATCACAAGTGCAAGGAAGGTGCAAGAATACAAGAAAAAAAGTGAAGATCTCGTTTTTGGTCTGTACCCGGTCGGGTATGACCTATACCCGGTCGGGTACCCTTCTGAAAAATCGAATCAAATCAAATCCGGGAACAAGGCATCATGCGGGAGGATTTTAACACGTTCGGATGTTCATACCCGATCGGGTGACCGACAGACCCGATCGGGTATGACCCCTTTTCCAGCTTCGAAGAAGCCACCTTTATACCCGATCGAGTGAGCTGAAAGCCCGATCGGGTACACGACCCTGCAGGCCTAAAAAGCCTATAAATACACCCCATTTCTTCCACAATAAATCACCAATTCCTATATACTTCTAAGCTCAGTTTAGACAAGTTCTTTCTTTATATTTTTATCATGTTTAGTCTCCAAATGAGGAGCTAAACTCTTCCATCTTGGTTTTGCTATTTTGAAGCTTAATGAATTGTAAGTTGTGAGTTATTTTCTTTATTCTTCTTCCTTGAATATTAATTAATTCCTATGCATATTACATATTAATATTTTGAGCATTACTTAAAGGATCAACTAGTTTTGTTTCATATATTAATTAATACTAGAATTGGTCGATTAATACGCTTGTTATTAACTCGGTCCTTTCACGGTAGTAAACTTGGGTTGTTAATGCGTGCGTCTCATGGTTAATAACCTAAGGGGAATTAATTATATTGATTAAACCAACAAACCGCTTGTGTTGAGGTTATCAATCTCAATCGTTTTCATCTTGATTTTATTGCTACTATCAAGTTAATATACGACGCTTGTTCTATATTGACT